TTCTCCAAGATATTGCTTAATTTTTGATCTCACAAGTCAGTCCACTACTGCTCTCCCAAAAACCAGTTCAACCTAAAACTTTTTCAAAATGGAATCTGAATTGGAAAAATGGAGTCGTAAAAGCTGGATCATAAAATGGAATTGTAGTGGTTACGGGCCCTCTAATTCTTTTTTATGAGCCTGATACGATTCTTGCACTCCAGGAACCACCGTGCCTCGTGTATCTCTACAACTTTTCTTATTTTTTCCAATCATTATCCATCATTTTCAAAAATTCAACTCACACTGATTAGTCTTGAAAACTTGTTTTCTTCGCTGCTGCTTGATGACCGTATAAAAAAGCGGGTTTTCTCGGATATCTAATCCAATTCTGGACCCTAAGGAGATGACCACGTAGAGCAGAGTATCAATCGCATTGCGTTTGAGCCCTCTCGCCTACAACGTGCTCTCTCGTGTTTTCCCTCTCCTCGCAGCTGTGTCTCTCCGTCATATCAATGCTGAACCCATAAGGAAATTTCAGTGTTTTCTATGGTGCCCTTGGCTTTTCTCCTCTTTTACGTTACTCTTCGCAATTCCTCGATGATTGTCTAACTACCAAGCAAAAGACACCCAAATTTGATCCCGACCCGTGCCTTTAAGTTTTCAGTGAAAAAAGCCCACAAAAGGAAAATGCCTCCCGCCCCGAATTCGACTAGACATTTTAATTTGTTTATTTGACCAAGACGAAGATGACGTTAGCTACGTCTTGACATATTCATACATATATTAATGGTTGAGATGGCACGTAATTAACTCGCCTCGTTCAAAATGATATTGGCGTTTTTTATCGATCTAACTGCTCGTTCATAGTTATGAATGCTTATTCCTTGAAGTCCGAGCTCTCAATATGCTTTTTTGCGCGGTCGGAAGCACTATTAATTCTTTCCGCCTTTCGCATCGACGTCAAAGGGGCACGAGTTCGGTCCCTGCAATTTTCCTTCGCTCTGACGTATTCACGTCTCATTTCGCAGGCTTTTACGGATCGTATTACTCACGGGTCTCATAGCGTTTTCTGCTTTAGAAGGTGTCGTGTGAGCGTCGAATGCTGAGCAGTAGAAGCACCGATCAGCCGCCAACAAGCCGAAAGCCCCGACACACGAAACCTCGTCGTGGCTCCGTAGTCGAGTGGATTAATGGACTATCGGATAACAATGTGTCCAGGGACAGTGAATGGGAAAGGCAAGTGACTCTCCAAACCTTAATTCACTTATTTGAGCCGATTTCCTCAATTGATTTTCAATTAATCTAGCTGGAAAGGGTCTGAAAAAGTGAACCTAAAGACCCACAGAGTGCCTGAAAAAGAACTTTAGCGCATGCTCATCACCGCGCTTGACCCGTCATGGAAGTGTGGTTTCCGTCGGAGAGACACTGCCGGATGAAGCCACTAAGCATCGCATTGATCTTCTGACTGCCCTCAAAAAAGAGGTAGGTCAATTTTGATTGGATTACTGTAGCGGAAACGAGTTACTGTAGCCCTGTACGGATTGTGTGTGTGTTCAGGTGAAAGTCATAATGGAAGAAGCGGTGACCAAGCGACAAATTGACATCAACTCTCCATATGTCACCTCATTATGTGGTGAGTTACACCTCGTTGTTTCCTTCTCATTCCCCTCTATTGGACGTCGACATTGTCTTCATTGTTTCAACTGCATTGAAAAACGACTTCATCACGTCATTGTGAGCTTTCAAGGGGGTTGTTTTGCCACACGACTTACAGCACTGAGATTGGAAATGCAGCAGCGTTCACCATGTCAACAAGGTTTCAAAGGCACACACAAGCAACATACTCGTCAACAAGAAACTATCGGGGCCCTTCAGAAAAAATGGAGCATCTCATTAGCAATTGGATGGCCAATTAGTCATCAAATTGCGCTACTATAGAGCTGCTAGAGCTCAGAACTCTGAGCGAAAGCATTTGGCATTGACCAATCACTTTTCTGGCTGCGCCGTGCATTCCACTTCCATTCGGTAATGTGGTGGCATTTGAGTGTGGTTAGGCCAAAACAGTGATAACTGCGGGCGCCAAGCGATTTGCCATGTGCATTTAGATTCCCAAATGCATCTGATACCATTCAATCGATAAATAAGAAGAAATAGAAGGTTTGAGCAGAATTCGAGCTCTGGGCCAAGAAACGTTCAGTTCTCCTCCTAGGCCAGGGGAGGCGCTCACTTCTCCTCCTAGGTCAGGTCACCAGAGCTGCGCGATCATTGAAGCCTAAGGTTAGCTTGGGTTTAGGCTTAGGCTAGGCTTATGCTTACACACTGGCTTATGCTTAAGCCTATGATTGGGCCTAGGCTTATCGCTAGTCCTGTGCTTCTTTCGAGGAAATGAGCGGTGCCTCAATCTTAGGATTAGGCCTATCCTGAGGATGAGAACTGAAACGCATCTCCCTGGGTGGTGTCCGTCGTAAAAGCCACTTATTACTCATTCTATCAGCTCTTATGACTGGTGGTTAATGGATGAAATACTCTGTTCAATAGCTTCGAGTTAAGCCACGAATTCAGTTTTTCGTCACAATTCTAAGCGCAATTGTTTAGACCGTAACTCAGGAAAGCTGAAAGCTTCAGTAGGACAGAAATACCGTATTCTTTCTATCTGATCCAGCACCAGTTAGTCAAGCCTGTACAGATGGGAAAGGCTGGGTTACCTCAACCCAGTCCGACTCGAAAAGTATGCAAGTCGGTGTGCTGCATCAATCGCCATCACTAAGAACTGCTAATTATTAGTGATTTGCAGTTCTGTAGCTGATAATTTGATAAAATACCTGGGTTTTACCGAGAATGGCGATGAAGCACAGGTAATGATAATTATGTGGTGCATCGCAAGTTGTTTTCACCTTATCGTTGTTATGGCGGAAATCCCCTATAATCATATGTACGATTACTGAGTAATCATTAACCGGAAAGTAGTGAAAGATTCGGCCATGATGGAGGAAACATCAATCAAAACAGGATACCCGTCTGGCAATTTTTTTCCACTTTTGAAACTGGACGATTAATGACTAGACAGTGGTCTGGAACATCTATCTAAAATCCTCTTTAGTTCCCGGTGATGAGCACTGTCAACATTGTGTTGGAACAAGTCAGTTATGTGAGTAGGAGATTATTCCGCGATTCCTTAGAGAAGTTCATGTTTCTTCGAGCTCCTGCTGGAGTGGTTTCGATTTTCATGGACGTTTGAGAAGAGGAAATTGCTGGGAATTTGAAAAAACGTTTGACAAAATTCTGAGAATTTCAGGAACTTCTGTAAACCTCGCGGTATTAATAGCCATACGTATTTATCCCACTCTGAACCTGCCTGATTATTAGTTAACATCTCGAAAATTCTTCGCTTATGTTGTCTAAAAATACGAGCTACTTTGCCGAATAATACCGCTTTCTAAAAATCAAACAAAATACGACCCTGTCCCTTTCCGTTGATCTTGGTGAGCCTGTCATGGACTTGACCCTGTCATGAACTTCGGTTCTACGAGTGGTCACTCACAGAGCATTGCTCTAACCTAAAGTGGAAATTCTGACTGTGCCATCCTCCTGAC